ACTGCATAAAATAGTGTTTAAATCAATATGATGGCATTAACCAAAAAAATTTGCGAGACATTCTAACCAAAAGTAATTTTACACTATGATCACTTAATGAACACCCCAATACTACATGTCAAAAATAAAGTTGAAATCCAAGAAACAGTTAAAAACTGTAAATTACCTTATTTTATATAATAATAATTATGATTCTGAATCAATTATATATTTCTCGGAGAAGGGTGTGTATTTAATTGAATTACATTTAAACAAAATACTTTTACCGTAATAATTTTGTATTAAAAAAAAGTTATAATTATTATTTTAATTTGGGTACGATATGAATGTACAGTACAATGAATGTAGCAGGCGTTGTCATAAATAGTTAAACATGATACTTTTCATACTATTAAAACATACCCTGATTCTCATCCTTTATGGACGCGTGACTATAAATGGGAAACCAATTGGCGGTAATCACGCTATTAGTACAGCCTTTGATGTTAGGGTTGTATTTCCGGCGTATAGTCTGCCGGCCATTAGAGTCCGTATAATACACGCCATCGGTCTGGAGATCGGACTCAAATCGGGTGACAATCTCTTTGCCAATCTTGTCGGCCATCGGTATCGGACCGACCGTCCAATCAAACTCAATGTAATCCCTGTCCTCATAAGTGCGTACCGTTTGGTGTATATAATCGGCAAACTGTTGGTTCAGCTCATGTACGGCACCCGACGTATGCCTTGAGATCAGCTTCTGTTGGCCGTAGTCCCGGGCGTTGCCGTCCGGACAGAAATGATAACTCCCGGAGTCCTCGAGACCCGTCTGATTGCCAATTGATTTATACCATTTGAACGATTGGTTGAGTCTGTGTTTCTGTCCGTTAAGTGTAATTGTCTGGAGAGCACCGGTAGTCCCGTCTACTTCTAGTGTAAATGATTTTCCTTTCATTTCAATGGCGGCGGCCGTGCGCTCACCGGTCAACACATGCATCAAAGGGTCTGATAGTTAAAAATATTAACAATGTTTCATTAATTCCCCTGCTTAAATATAAATTTAAAGAATTTTAGTTTTTTATTTAACGTTGTTAACAAAAACCAATATTAAACCTTTGAATATACAAAATATATAAAATTATGTAAAACTTAGATTCCATTACAGCTTATATATAAATAAAATTTTTATTTTAAATTAAATTATTTTATAAATAATATTGTAGTTTTAATTGTGTTTCATTTATTATTAAATTCTAATAAATTGTGTCTAATAAACATCAATAAGAATAATTTCAAGATGCTAAATTTTTATTTTAACTAGATTTTAAAATAAAATTAATAATTTGCAAATATTATTCATACCCTTATCGATGGCTTTGTGTTTCTCAACAAAATACGTGGTATATCCGAGCGCCGGTAGCTTTGCGTTGAACACCAGTTCATGTGTGCCGAGACTACCCTTACGTTCGGGCAATAGTCTGACCGCTTCGGACACCGGTAGCAGTGATTTGGCCGCCACTTCAGCACCGGTCGAGTCAAACACACGATACACACCGTCAGTGACCGGTACTCGCAAGTAGTGAGTGACGGGTCGGGCGATCGGGTTATAGGCAGTGACGGCCACCCGATCCGCGCTCTCAGTTAGTGTACAGTCGGTTATATTGAGTGAATCGCAGTACACGTCGGTTACGATCACCGGTTTCTCGGTGTCCGTCGATTTGAGATAACTATAGGCCCGACGTATGACTTGTTTGGCGGCCGCGTATCCGCTCTGCAGCCGTTGTGTGTAGTCGTCGGATGTGGTCTGCGGTGACGTACCGGTGATGGCGTCGTGATGTGTCAGTACTGCCACTTCATTACTCGCTTCGGCTATATATGAGCCCGTCTTTGAGGGGTCCAAACGGGCCAATACTGACAGCTGTTTCGCCGCCTGTAATACGTGATGCAATTAAAACAATTATTATTGACTGTAATCTTATACACATCACAATAATTAACTATCCATTAAATAATGATAAATAATATATTGGACACAGCAAGTAATCCTTTATTTATATTAAATTTTTATTATTTGATTTTTATTGGAATAAATATTAAACTAACTCAAAGAATATTATGCATTTGAATAATAGTCGACTATTAGTCAATCCAATACGACAGGTAATCAACAATGCACATATTATAATATAATTAATTAAAAGTATAATAGTTAACTTTTATTACTAAATAACAATGTACAAATAAAATTTTAGGTAATATAATTTAAATAATCCCACCAACTGTAATTCTATACTTAAAAATTATACCACTTTATATAAAAATCTTAACATAATAATCTATGGTATAGATGACTGATCATTTATTTAAAAATGATATTAATCTGAAATTATATAATATAAATAACCCCACCAACTGTAATCTTATACATATAAATTAATTTATTTGATATAAACATCTAACTTGTAAGCATAATAATGATATAATATGTTATCATATGATTGAATAAATTGGAGAGTGAGTCTTCTTGGATTTAACATTAAACCAATGCATTCAATAATTTTGACCATTCATTGCATTGACTCAAAGTGTAATGAAGTTTTCAATAGAAAATATTAGTCAATGTAATAAATAGTCAAAAATATTGAATGCATTGGTTTAATGTTAAATCCAAGAAGACTCACTCTCCAATTTATCCATTCATATGATATTATTTTAAATCAATTATTTTTACATGATATTTATCTAACCTGAAGTATATTATTGGTTAATCGATCCTGATACTTGAGAGCAGGCCTATTTGCATAATAGCCGACCCAATACGACAGGTAATCAACAGTGCGCTCATCATATGTACGGTTCAGACCGTTCACTGCCTTCACGTAGCACTCGGGGGTTGAATAAAATAAATTAACATCAGGGTGATTAGCTTTAGCCTCCTTGATCATTTTGTCCATGTTGTCAAACCAATTATTAGCTGTCCTATACTGAAAATCCCCGCCCATTGTCTGCATCACATGATTGGTATTACCATAATCTTTGTTCCACTGGCGCGAGATGCCGATAAATTTTTGTGTCTTATCATGCACATTTACATCAGTAATAGTATTTTTACCATCTTCAAAATTATAGCCATCGGGTGGGTTATAGGCGTTGTGTAATATCGTGGTAAATATACGTGTGTTTAAGTCCCGGGATGTGTCCCATATGTACTCTCCCAGGTCTGGACCCCTGTTGTAAACGTGTGTATCAAAACCCATCTGAGCGTATAGTGAGGGCATCTCCAGGGAGGCCCCGAACGGATCAATTTGCCATGATACTTTGGGATGAGCGCACTCGCCAAATGTAGAGTTTAAAAATTTTAAACCTAATTTTTATGGAAAACTAAAATGATCAAATAAAAATTTTATTTGAATCTCTATCAACAAAAGTTGTTTTACAAAGTAATCAATATAAAAAATAATATTTTAATAATTAAATTTAAAAAATGTTTGTAAAATAGTTATAATTAATTAAGCGCGAAATATTAAATATGAACTATTTAAATAAGATTTAATTAACATTAGAATAAAATATTAATAGGCGCTGTAAAGTTGTTTCCAGAAATATTAGTTTTTTTTAACAACCATTAATATTATTAACAAAACTATAGATAATTACAGTTTTAAATCAAAAATATAACTATTACAATTATGATTATATTTACAACATAATTATATACATTAATACATAATTGCAAAATTTACTAGTTGTTTTTTAAATCTGTTGTTACATAAAAACTATTATTTAAAACTCAACTTTTTGTTATATTATTTAATTAGTTAAGATTGGAAAAATTACTGTATGGCTATTTTATTATTATAATATTAAAAATAAATTTTATTATAAAACTGTAATTGATACCAAAAATATAATGTAAAATTATCAATAAATGCAATTAATATAATCTATGGTTGGTCTAGATAAGGAGTAGTTTATTTTAGCTTAAACTTAATAAATTATAGTAAACGCGGACTTACCAAGTGTCATCTGATCAATAATATTATTATAATGAGCTGAGCCCTCATCGTTCACAGTCCAGCCTCCGTTCACAAACACCAGCCGTCCCTCAGCTACCAGTTTGTGGGCCACATGCCGGCGCTCGTCAGTCTGTGTGCGCCACCAGCGGTGGAAAAAGTAGATTTCAGCTTGGGTATAGCGACGAGCAGGGTCCTTTTCCAATTCGATCACGGCGTTTGTTATGATTTTGCCGGTATAGTCGTCGTAATAGCCGTCGGCCGTCTCCATCCAACCCACGTCGTCGTGACTGTGGGCTATGAGGTGTATGTTTAGCTTCGATGGGTCGGTCACCGGACAGGCGGCGTACCCGCACTCGGCCCCCACCGGTCCAATGTTTAGCCCGATAGCCGCTATGACGGCGCCTAATATTAAATATATTTCTCTCATAAGTTTTCTATTTTATACTTAATTGACTTTAATTATAAAATTAATTTAAGAATTTTTATTTGTAATATATTGTTTATTTATATAGTTTATAATTGAAGCTAGTACCTATCCATACCTGATATTTAAACACTATAATTACTGGTTAAGTACATTACTGTACATTTACTGTGCATTTTTGAGTGTATTTGAGTGCTCTTAATCTAAACACATGCTTAAACTCTAAAACTTAAAGTACTTTCTCATTGATAAATAATACTTAATTGTAAATGAACATGGGGTAATTTGCAATTATTTGTTATCCATTGAACTATTCAAGTCGGTCTATTGTCCGCATACCTTATTATTATTAGCTATTTCTATTTTGTAACCATTATAATAAATACTTTTAAAATTAACTAATATAATTTTAATTGGAATTGTAAAATTTTAGAAGTATTTATTATTAAATGCTAAGTAATAAAATACACATGAAATTATCTAGTATATTTGAATTTATAATGAATTTTTAAAAATTATCATAGTAGGATTTTTTAGAAAATATTTACTGTAAAAACCCAAACGGTTTTTAAAGCCGATAATCCACGGAAATACGCATAATTTAACTAGAATTTAAAATTGATATTTATTGCAACAAAACTAAAAGAATATTGCATTAAGTCCTTGAACTATCAATTTTACATCTTACAATTCAATGTCAATAAATAATTAATAAAACATAAATAGTATAGTTATTTAATAAAATAAAAAATAAAGTAAGTATGTAGTGTTAATTTATTTTGTTTTATTACATTATTATGATAACATGATATTCTACTGTATATATTGTGCATACTTATACTTATACAGTATGTCTAATATCAGGAAATTAATAATTTATGCAAATATATTTTATTTTAAAATAATAACCAATTTGATAAACAATTTCACATATTTTTGTATAATTAAATTTATTGAGAATTTAATTATTTAAACTCAATTTTCTATATAATTGCTAGATTATAAATAATTATATCTAAATAATTTTTTGTTTTTACTAACAATTTTGAACATATTTAATTAATGCTTTTATTACAACATAATTTGTAATTTTGTGTTTTACAGAGTATTTTCCAATTATGATGTTAATTTATTTATAATTGTTATTTACGTAAATACAACCAAGGTCAAAACATTATTTATATTTACAAATGCATGTTCTTAACATTATAAGTAAATGTAAAAACTCTCAACATTTGATTTTGGTTAATATAATTGTTGCGAACAATGACTGAATTACAAAAATCTGTTGCAGATATGGATTACCATGATTATTTGCTATTTTATTTCATGATAATCTTACAGACATTAACAATTGTGATGAATATATTAATTGTTTTAGTAATTAATAATCACAATAAAACTAATAATAATAAACTCGGAACTAAAGTCAATAAACGGCCAAAATTACTGATGGTGTATATATCTATAAATACCATATTATTTCTATTTGTATATATGGTACCACTATTTATAATCATACCAGCGCTAAAGTCAAATCCGTTTTATATGTACATCATTGGTACGCTTACCTATTATATCGCAGTAACCATATTATACTCGACAAGTTTCACCATAACTGTGCTGTCAATTGATTTGTACTATTCGTTAATTAATGTGTTTAATAATCCATTGGATAACATGAAGACAAAGTACTACATGTATATTATTTGGTGCTTGAGCTTGATATTAAGCATACCGTCCATGTTCAATCTAGACTTCTTTTATTTTGACAGTGAACATGGTTCTTACGTTTGCACACGATATATAAATCATCCGGATTCATTTATAATATACATTTATAAATATATAATTTTATATAATGTAATATTACAATTTATACTACCCGTGTGTATAATTGTTTGCTGCACTTTGCTTACAATAATCAAGTATAGGCAAAATTCACCAAGTGGCAAAAAATTGAAAATATTTCTCAGACTTATCT